AAGAAAGAGGCGTATATAAAATAACATATGCACCACCATGTCAAAAAGAATACATTGGTTATACTAACAGATCTTTTAAACAGCGATTCAAAGAACATAGTGCCAGCCACCACGCCAATCCAGAATCATTAGTCGCCAAACACCTGAAAAGTAATCAGAATCATCACATCTCATTTCCAGAATCATTAACAATCCTCAAACGCACAAATTCTAAGTCAATAGCGAAAGTCCAAGAAAGCTACCACATATACAGGGTTAGTAAAAAGTGTGGAGACCCCCTGTTATTTTTTTAACGGCCCATACTAGAAAAACTAAACTCGGCACACCATTATGGCATGTTATGAAGTACTTTTTGGGCATAACCGCCACTTGGTGTTCATCCCCAAAATGGGGGATTTTGGGGGAAACTAAAAAAATTCAAATACAAAGACCCATCGAGTGACCCCTCATTTTGAAGGTCCTGGTAAAATAAAACCAACAACGCAAACTAGAGGTATTTATCTCAGTTCAGTACAAAATGGCAGCCGATTGAAATTCTCATAAGTTCCCAAACCCAAAATGGGGGATTTTGGGGGAAACTCAAAATTTTTTAATGATAAGCCCCATCGAGTGACCCCTCATTTTGAAGGTCATAATAAAAGAAAAGTAACAACGCAAACTATAGGTCTCTATCTTAACCTAACCTAACCTAACCAGGTTACAGCTTGATATTATTGTTTAGATTTGAATTGTGAATCGTTACTGTTCATTAAAAAAAGAGAAAAAAACAGGATAGCCACAGACTCTAGTGTCATAAATCATAAATTATAGGATATTTTTTTTATTCCTATAAAAGTTTTGCCCGCATATCTAAAAAATGCACACTTCATATGCAAACCAACTGCTGTTCTAAATATAATATTTTTGCAACTCATTATAATATATCATAACTTGTAAAAATAATCAGATCTCATGAAATTTAGCACAAACGCGTAAACCCCAATCAGACTATGGGAATGAAGGTTTCAGGGGGGAGGTTGTATCCCAAAAATGGGTTATTCGTTTTTACCTTGATTTGTTTGATAAAAATTATTTTTTGACTACCTATTGAACTAAGCTTTAAAAGACAAACAATTTAGAACCCGACACTGTTATTCTACCCCTAACCGTTGCCGAGAAATGAAGTGCGGTAAACATAGTACATCGTTTTCGTTGTTATTTTTAAGGAGAATAAGTTTTAATTGCCTTTAATGTGCTTATTTCTAGTAAAGCGTATTCTCAATTTATATTTACACATACTCAAGTGGAAACCTAGCTTCCCACTATAAATCAGTTCAGTTGTTATCTTGTGTTCTTCTGTTACATGTTAACTGTTTGAAAATTGTTGAATATTGTGAATATTGTTTGAAATAAAATATTAGAGGTATTAACTTGAATTAAGCGTAATTTGTCATCTCTACTTATGGTATATAGACATTCCATGCTTAATACTTTGTGCTACCCTACAGCCAGAAAAAGAAACACCACTTCTTCATAGTAATTCAAAGTTGCCAATATGTATATTTGATGACAACCAAAACTACGAATTTCTATTAGGCCTACATATTTAATTTTTTCAGACATTGTAACAAATTGTGGTGACGACCTTTAGGACCAGTAATCATTTCACCGGTTGTATGGACATCAGAGATTCATTTACCAATTATCGACCAACAAGCAATCACCACTTCACCAGTTATATCAACATCAGAGATGCAACTATCGATTATCGACCCAAAAGCAATCACCACTTCACCGGTTATATTGACATCAGAGATGCAACTACCAATTATCGACACAAGCAATCACCACCTCACCGGTTATATCAACATCAGAGATGCAACTACCGATTATCGACCCAAAAGCAATCACCACCTCACCAGTTATATCAACATCAGAGATGCAACTACCGATTATCGACCCAAAAGCAATCACCACCTCACCAGTTATATCAACATCAGAGATGCAACTACCAATTATCGACACAAGCAATCACCACCTCACCAGTTATATCAACATCAGAGATGCAACTACCGATTATCGACCCAAAAGCAATCACCACCTCACCAGTTATATCAACATCAGAGATGCAACTACCGATTATCGACCCAAAAGCAATCACCACCTCACCGGTTATATCAACATCAGAGATGCAACTACCGATTATCGACCCAAAAGCAATCACCACTTGACCGGTTATATCAACATCAGAGATGCAACTACCGATTATCGACCCAAAAGCAATCACCACCTCACCAGTTATATCAACATCAGAGATGCAACTACCAATTATCGACACAAGCAATCACCACCTCACCAGTTATATCAACATCAGAGATGCAACTACCGATTATCGACCCAAAAGCAATCACCACCTCACCAGTTATATCAACATCAGAGATGCAACTACCGATTATCGACCCAAAAGCAATCACCACCTCACCGGTTATATCAACATCAGAGATGCAACTACCGATTATCGACCCAAAAGCAATCACCACTTGACCGGTTATATCAACATCAGAGATGCAACTACCGATTATCGACCCAAAAGCAATCACCACCTCACCAGTTATATCAACATCAGAGATGCAACTACCAATTATCGACACAAGCAATCACCACCTCACCGGTTATATCAACATCAGAGATGCAACTACCGATTATCGACCCAAAAGCAATCACCACCTCACCAGTTATATCAACATCAGAGATGCAACTACCGATTATTGACCAACAAGCAATCACCTCACCCAAGATATCTTCTAGCTTGATGTCAACTTCTTTTTGTGGTGAGGTTACTGTACCCATCTCAATAATTGATAATTGATTGACCACCAGTTGCTCTTGTACAACTTATTACATATCGAGGTAGGCCATTCTCAGTTACTAAATCCTATGTTCAAAAAGATGAAGATGCTTTACATGATTACTCAACCTGGACGGATGATAACTACCATCCAGACGATTTATCAGTATTATCAGATACAGATGATGATTCTAATAGGCCTACAGAAAATTCATCATCAGCAATTGAAGATATATCTGACAAAACAAATTTTTGGTGGGCATTTTAATTTTAAACCAAACCCCCTTCCCTTCTGATTGACTCTTCTATACCGTTTTACAAAACATTGATATTTCTGGGTTTACAGATAACCTCCAAAAAACCAGGGGGAAGGCTAACATTGCGCTCACTTGAGCCGATGTCGACAAAGACTTGGGAAAAAACAGTTATTAAAAAAATTAGAAAATATGTTTTTGAATCAGACTCACAACCCAGCTCAAGTTCAAACGTAGCAAGTGGGGTGGAAACAGTAAGGAAGACACTTTGGCCAAAGACAATGTATTCAGTGGCAAAAAGGACCGAAAGATTCTCCTTTAAAAAACTTCCGAATCTTCCACGGAGATCAACGAGGAAAATTATTGAGATGCCGGTGGTCATTAAACCATCATCGGCCATGGACGATGATAGACCGACAACTACCAGTACCCCTAGAGCAGGGCCATCAACAACTGAAAGTGAGACATCTATATTAAGTTCTTAGAGCAATTTTAAGGTCTAGGATAACATTGTTGTATCAGAGTAAACCATTACATTGAAATTATATAACTGAACGTTTGGTAACTATTCATTGTATAATTTATAATTAAACTTGTTGACTTTCCAATAATTGCCAAATTAAGGTGAGCCAGTAGCAGCTATTTTGTACAGGTGCTATTTGTCCTTGCAAAGAAACTTAAAATCAAACTACAAAAATAGGCAATATTTATTTAATGGTAGTTTTGCATTGGGTTCTTAGGTACAGTCCCAACATAAAGCAAACTGTACACATTGGCTTTGGACCAAATTATACTAGAACTGACACTAAGAACCACCAACTTTTTCAAGGTATATCATTCGGTCCACACTTTAGGTAAATGTAAAGGGGCAATGGAGTTGGCTAGCTCCGGAACTGGTTTACTCTTAATTAAATAACTTACGTCATCAATCCATGAGTTGTTGTGGAGTACGCGTTTCAACCATCAGGTCATCCTCAGCTCCACTGTCTCTAGGTTGAATCTGTTTTTATGTTGCTTCGATTTTGTAGCAACAACGTCGATATGTCGAATAAATAGGCCAAACACATTTTGCATCCATTACACATACACGACACGTACGAAACATTTATATAACCATAAAACTATGATTATACTACCGTGCGCACGGCTGGACGGGCTCAGGTTTGCGGCTACACTCACAAGTGACGAGAGGCTACCGCAGAGTTGGATTAGTCGTGCTGCTGACGACAATTTGAATCTTTTACGTTAGCCTCTACGAAGCCCGGACTTGGCTCCTTGTGACTTTTTTTGTGGGGTTATGTGAACGACAAATTTTTTGTTCCTCCTTTGCCATTGAACCTTATAGAGCTCCGAAATCGCATTACTACTGCAGTATAAAGTGTCAATGAGGCCATTCATGAAAAAGTTTGGGCAGAATTTAGTTTTAGAATAGATGTGTGTAAAATAAGCCGATGATCCCATATTGAGCACTTGTAATATATGGGAAAAACTTGAGAATCTTAGCTTTCTAATGGTTATCTTTTATTAAAGTTGTTCACTTCTTTTTGTGTTCACCCTGTGTTTTTGTTACTTTCAGCATGGATTCACACGCTAATGATGGTGATGTTAAATAATCTGCAGGATCTAACTGATAATTCTTTAAACAAACTGATCCAAAACTTTAAAATATATCACCTAATAGCATCACATCTAGAATATTATACAAATCAGAAAAATTTTCTGATGTTTTATCCTTTAATATATCCTCCTCAGTTCCCACGTAACCTATAGGTTACAATATTTAGCGAAATCTGTACAATGTTCTGTTAGAGTTAGATGACTGCAAGTAGTTCCCGCTGTCTCCGCTAGGTTGCAGCACATACTGGGAATTTTTATATTTCATTATTTCATCATCTTCAGTTCATTTTACAGAATGAAAGATGGCGGATCGCGAGTTTCAGGCTTATCCCAGTTCTACTCAAAGTAAGTAAATTATTATTATTGTTTTTAGTATGTGTAAATCTTTCAACAAAAATTACAATAATCTTAAACATATGGTTGTGAAATAGGAACTGTCAAACAAAGAATAAATATTTATTTAGTCAGCAGTAATGGCCCTGAAAGTTTGTTGTAACCGATTGGTTACGTTGGAACTCTATGTTTCGGGCATCTTTACATGTAATATTATTATTATGGATTTTTGTCATGTGTTATGTCTGATTTTTGTGTGTGTGAGTGTGTGTGTGTGTTTGTTTATGTGTATGCTTTTATCCTATTAGTAATATATTTTTATTTTACAGGGGTTTTAGAGGAGTTTTGCGACAACTACGACTTTAGCGAGCTAACAGACGTCGAAGACCTATCAGACGACGATGATGGAAGATCAATTGAAGTTTCTGCACCTCCGAGAATCGATATCTTACTTGGAATTGAAGAGGACCAAGACCTTCTTGAAGAAGCTGTTGACGAACCTGATGAAGTCATCGTGGAACAACCTCATGTTGACGAAGCTGATGGTTTGACACCAACCGAGGTAACACCAACCAATGAAGGTAACACACCTCTGTGTTTTCAACCGACTCAATCTGTAGGGCCAGTCCCTGGGCCTTCTGGTGAAAATTTGAATAAATCTAAAAGATGCCCAGCACCATCTAGAGTTTCCAGTCGGAAACGGGCTAAGGTAGGCCTACCCACTAAGACAAAAAAACCAAGAGCAGAGCGTCGTAAGTCAATTCGACCAAACCCACGTGAACAAACGTTGAGGGCAATGGAACCGTTGCCAACTAATGGTAAATGGGAGGTAAGCAACAACTTTTACCCTTTGCCACCTGCACCTTATTTTGGAGGCCATAATCCTGAATATAACATGTCGTCGCCATTAGATCTTTTTCAAAAGTACATACCTGATGATATACTATGTCAAATTGCTACAGCAACTAATGAAAATATAATTTCTTCCACTGGTAAAGAAATACAAATCACAACTACAGACATGAAGAAGTTCTTTGGTATCACAATAATGATGTCGTACTTGAAATATCCCAGGATAAAGATGTACTGGGCCTCTCGAACAAGGATTCCGCAAATTAGTGATGCCATGCCGAGAAATAAGTACTTTCTTATAAGAAATCACATAAGGTGTCGTGATTACACTAACGTAAGCGATGAAGAAAAGGCAAGAAACAAGTATTGGAAAGTGTCTCCAGTAATTGACAGTGTCAGAGCTAGCTGTTTGTTGAACCCTCGACCCAACGAGGTATCGATGGATGAGCAAATGGTGCCTTTCTGGGGTCACACACAAATGAGGCAGCACATAAAAGGAAAACCTAACCCCTGTGGCCTAAAAAACTTGGTTGTATGTGCTCCAGACGGGCTGCCACTGGATTTTTTCCTATACGAGGGCAAAGGAGATAGTATTTTGCACGAAACTGAACTGAACTATCCTGGTTTAGATATAGGGGGTAAAATTATTGTAAGGCTGTCAAAGAATCTTCCGCAAGGTACTTCAATTTTTATGGACAGGTATTTTACCTCTATACAACTACTTGATGAACTTCACATCAGGGGTTTTCAAGGTACTGGCACACTTATAAATGACAGAATGCCAGAAAACAGAGAAATGTACTCTGACGCTGAGGTGAGGGGAGGTGGTCGAGGCTATATGTGCCAAATAGTTCGAGATGATGGACAAATAGCCATCGTCAAATGGTTCGACAACAAACCGGTGCTATTGACATCGAGCATACATGGCTGCGAGCCAAAAGATGTTTGTCGACGGTGGTGCAAGAAGGAAAAAAGGTATGTACAAGTCGAAAGACCTTACATAATAAAGAAATACAATGAATGCATGGGTGGCGTCGACCTTCTAGATAGGATGATATCCTATTATAGAATTGCTGCTAGGACGAAAAAATGGACCACTAGGCTAATTAGCCATCTGATTGATTTCTCTCTGGCAGCTGGGTGGATTGAGAGAAGAAGAGCCGATCAACAAGCTGGAACTCCTCGAAGAGACAGGTTTGATTTTTTCGACTTTCGTTTTGATGTGGCTCAACACCTGCTGGCGTCAGAAACTGAAGAACCAGTGGACGATGAGGAGATTGAGGATGATCCACAGCCTCTAACCTCTTCCTCGGGAAGGAAAACTCCTTTGCCAACAGATGCTGTCCGGAAGAGCAAGGTTCAGCATCTACCGGAAATTCCTCCAGATGTGAAGCCTTCTAGATGTCGGTTCCCAGGATGTGACAGTCCTAAATGTCGCATTAAATGCAGCACCTGCAATGTTTTCTTATGTCTAAATTCTAATAGGAACTGTTTTAAACTGTTTCATGAGTTATAATGACCAGGTTCCTAAGTTAAAGATTTACGTGTGTAAAAAAATGAGTTTGGTCGAGTTCCGATGTAACCAATAGGTTACATGCTGTTTTGTACATTTCTAATAAAAAAAAAATTCCAAAAAAATTTTTTCTTGTTTACTTTATTTATTTCCTTTAAATATACACAAAAATTACAAAAATAAAATTCTCAGTTTTCCTATGGGTCTGAGGAGGTTATTCCAAACTTTTAAACAGTGATTAAAATCATCATAACTTATATTTTCATTTAATAAACAGCTATAAAATTGTAATTTATCGAAGATTTTATTTTATTTTAATTTTATAATATCATCTATTAATTCATATGGAAATATGCCTTCGGAAGATAATATTTCAAGTGTTTCATTATCTTTTTCAAGTATATCAATATTCTTTATATATTCATTTAAGGGTTTAAATTCTTTAAGATATTTAGCTTAATTGTCAATCGATGAAGCTATAAATGTAAATGTATCAATAAATATGAATTTTACAAATTGCATAGGTTTGTTATCTTCAAATTCATATCCGTACCTAGAATTAACTAAATAGTTTATATATTTGTCATCGGTGTTTGCTATTAAGTCAATTTTACCATATTTTTTAGCTAATTCTCTAATTAACAAATGTGTATCATAGTTTGAACTATTAAGACAGAATATAGGAATATTTTGTGGAAACTTAAGATTTAAATTACAACATAAATGTACTGCACCTCTATATTTTCCTGTTAAATGACAGTGATCTCTTACTTTTCGTCTTTTGTCATTATCAAAATCTATATTTTAACAAATATGACAATCACTTGCTTTATGATATTCAATTTCTTCATTGTCAAACTCATAGGCTTTTTGTTTTTTTAATTATACTTCTTAGCTATTTACTTTGAAATCTCATCTAAATATTCAAAAAGTTTATTTGGTACATTTTCCAACTCTTCTTTTTTTGCTCTATAACTAATAGGTTTAAACATTATATTAGTCACTCTAGAAACCAAATAAATTGTAAATCCATAAGGTATGTATTTTGTAATTTTATTTGTATATGCGTTGTATGGATTATTTTCACAAGTATCAATCTTTTTCAAAATGCTTCAAAAAGTTTATACAGCACTTTTTTATTAAATTCATTCGGTAACTCAATATATGAACCAGCATTTAGTGAATTATTTTTACTTAATTTTATATTTAATTCTTAACATCTACTTAATGACCAACCACTAAATTCAGATGGTCCATTTAAATTTCCTCATAATATTAACTTTTTTAACTGATCATCAATAAATTCATTAATATTCAATATATCTGAGCTTCTAAGAGCATAATACATTGTACTTGTTTCAATGTCACCACTATCAAATTTTCGTTGATATTAACAAGCTGAAGCAAGTTGTCCTTTTATATTTTTAAATTCTCGTTTTTTACTCAATTTTTTAATTTCACTTCTTTGTGATTCTAAATAATCAGATATATCTAAATCATCTTTTGAATTTGTTAAAATATATTCTTCAAAATAGCCTTTTAATGACGATGCTTCTTGAATATTTATTATATTTTCTTTGGAATTGGTTTATTTTTTAAGATAATCAGTCAATAATTCAATCAATTCTATTTTAGTTTTATTAAAATATTCAATATTATTTTTAACAGCTAAATCTTGAATAAATTCAGATGATTTGTACCTTAAACTGTTTGGATTTTGTTTAATGTGTAGCCTTATGGTGGGAACGGGGGCAGAAACTAGGTTATGAATTCTGTGGTGATGTGATGTACTGATTGTAATTGAGTGAAATATGTAGGTAATTGGCTGTTTTTGGTGCTAGGGACTGGAGGGCCCCAGCATGTTGCAATTAAGAATGTGCTATCATCTACTACCATCTTAAAATGATAATTTAATAGGAAACGTTGTTGGGGAATCAGAGGGCGGAAATCTTTACCCAGACCAGAAGCAGGCCAAGCCAGAATTTGATTACTTATAATTTAACTAGAAACAGAACTATAGCTAACCTCCCAAACTAAACTGCTAAATAGTGTAAAATTAAGATGATGATAAAGTAGGTCAAATCCGTTCCCTAACTCCTTATTGAAAAAATTTGGACTCATAATTTGTACATTGAAGTCGGTTGTATTGTTTACAAAAATAAATTCATTTCAAGATTTTTAGTGACTTTATAATTTGTTATATATTAATTACTTTAGGTTTTTTGATAAGAAAAACTGTTTGAAACAATCAAAAGTGCCACAGAACAATCATTATTTTAAAACTGCTTGAGTCATTTGTTCAGGTTACATAATCAATGGGTATAAAAATAAACATTTTTAGATATTTCTTAAAAAAGAAAGAGTTGTCCATTACATTAGGCCTAATGAAAAACTAAATGTCTTTTCTAGAGACATTGAAATGTCAGTCATCATCGTTTTCTGCAATCGGTGTACTTCTACATTATAAAAAGAAATACAGTAACGTCTCAAGCCTTTTGGAAAAATATGAAAGTTATTCCTCAGCACACAGGAACATCAAGTTTACACTTGAGGTTGAAAACAACAAGTCATGAAATTTTCTCGACTTTAACATTTCAAAATGCTCTGACGAAAACAAACTGAAATTCCAAATTTACCGAAAACCTACGACCACAAACCAGACGATACACAATTCCTCACACCATCCTCAAAATCAGAAATTAGCCGCTTATCATAGTTTCGTTGATAGATTATTGTCAATTCCATTGTCTAAAGAAGATTACAAGGAGGATGTCAACACACTAAAATACATCGCAGTGTCCAATGGGTACAATAGTAATATTATTGACAAACTGATTAAGAAACAAAAAGATAAAAACGTTCACATTGTCAAAAGATCCAACAATCCAATATATATATCCACCGAGTTCGGCACTTACTTAAATAGCACATTGAAGAAAGAAATGTCAAATAACAATGTTATACTATCTTTCAGTACTAACAATAAACTTTCAGGTGTTCTGAGAAATAAAGGGAAAACCCTATTAGGCCCTACCGAAAAAACAGAAGGATCTGGTGTTTATAAACTAAATTGTGACAGCTGCCCTAGTTTTTATATTGGACAAACCGCCCGCTCATTTAAAACGAGATATAAGGAACACTTGCCGAAACCATCCATCCACAAACCCAATTCTGCATTTGCCGATCATCTGATTAATTATAACCACGATGTCTCAAATATTGACAAAAGCATCGATGTGCTACATTTTCACAAAAAAAGAGGCCGCTTTCTCGATACTATAGAAGAATATGAGATTTTCAAGGCCGGCAAAAAATCCCCCCAACACAAAATAAAATTAACGAAAAAAACGTCGTTTGAATCTGACATAATTTATGAAGCAGCCGCAATGATAGAAGGATTATCAGAAGAAAAGACGCTGATAACAATGTGAGGGGAAGGGGGGAGGGAAGGGAAACGGCGACGGTCAGTCTAGACCTACACCCTGAACCCTCGGCCGCGCCGTGAGAATTAGTGTTCTTGTGGCCATACTATATTATTTATTTGTAAATATGTTTGTGCGTGTCTCGTGTATATATTTTCAAGACTTTATGACGACCTCCTATACTCCGCGCGCGATAACTTTTCACTTGGGACTTGCACAACTTGGCAACGCTGCAGGGCTCGCTACCCCATCCTATACCTGTCACATGTGACCGGTAGGACGATGGCTCACAACTAGGCTCCTAGTTAAAATGACACTTTTTCTTAAAAACTGAATGAAATGTTAATTAAGACTATGCATCTTAAAGAGAATTTTCTAGCGATAAATAATATCTAAAAATCTTTGTAATGGGACAATTATTAATGGTCTTGCTTAAGGTGGTAAACTAAATATATTGTGACCGTGATATAAAAATGTTATTATTTAAATGTAAAACAAATAGACTAATTTAATATAAAAGAGCATAACTCAAAATAATTAACTTTCGAAGAATCGTTCATAATATGATGGATTTCAATATATTATTGCAAAAGGTAAAGAGTTGTGTTGTTTCAGATTAGTTGCATGTGGAGAGAGTCGTAATAGATTGTTTTTCTTGGAAGAACGGTGGTTGTATATTTTTGGAAATTCCTGGGAATAGCCTCTCCTCCCTCCACTAAAACTTTTCCGCCCAGCAACCAGTTCACCACCGCGCTCTTGTGTTTGTAGATGTTTACCTGTTTCAGTTCGCGTTGTTGTGTGTGACTTGTGCGATGATGTGCTTGTGACTTGTGATTGTAGCCGACGTTTTTCGTAATGCCGGGCAGTCAAGGGAAGGCACTAAATAGTCAGGCTAGGACGATCGTGCTCAGTGTCGTGCGGTATTTCCAACAGGAGAAAATAAATAATGGGCCGTTAAGGAACGTTAATCAAGTTTTAAAACGGGTTGCGGAAGCTTGTAATATAAGTCAACGAACAGTGGTAAATATTAGGAACCAGGAGAAGCTGAGAAAAACGATGACGGGAGTCCTGTAATGGCAACACCAGGTAAAAAAAGAAATAAGCAAAAACCAGTTACGGATGTAGATAATTTTGACATTGATGCCATAAGGCGACATGTATACTCATACTACAATAGGAAAGAAGTTCCAACTGTTCCCAAACTATTAAAAAGTCTGAATGAATGTGGAATATTTAAGGGTAAACACACCTCCCTTCGTAACATTTTAAAGAAAATTGGATTTAAGTATAAGAAAATTAACAAACGTAAGGAACTAACGGCCCCACCAACGTCTATCATGAGCAACGCACTGGGCAGCGTCACTGTCCCCAGTACCCAGGGCGTTGCTCATCATGAACGTCGGTGGGGCCTTCTTTAGATGCCCTTACCCACTTGTATCCAATTCCATCACTTATAAATGTTCTCGCCATACATCTCACCAATCTGTTGATAAATTTCAATGGCTTTCACACTTTTAGCACTTGAAAATATAATTACAGCGCGCACTTCACAGTCGGCGGCAGTCTCAATTGGTGGCGCCATTTTGAATGCTCGATACCGGATGTAAACATGACCGATTTTTGTCGAATTTCCGGCTAGGGCTTGCCAATAGATGCACATATACAGCGCAAATGTCCAAAATGTGAATCGCAGCGCTGGAACGTAGAAGTTTAAAAGTTTCCTCCGGGTGTGTTTGACGACTTAGGTGTTTCGCCGTTGGATTAATAATTCGTCGTTAA